GACTAACACTTCTTACTTGAGATAATTTATTGTCGAAATATTCCCACAAAGAATTTGAGGATTCGCGGATTACAATTGGGGATGCTGGTGTTTCACTTATATTGTTTCCAATGTTTTCATCGTCGTTATTACTATATATATTCAAAGTAAGTTCTTCTATTATCCATTTTTGAGTGTTGTCTGCATTATCAGCCAATCCAAATGCAGTTTTTTTAAGTCTCGGATCTAAGAAAGTTGATTTTGCTACTATACTATTTTTTTCTAGAGATCCTAAACGCCTCGCTACTACATCTAGTAATGTATTTTATAGCAATATACCTGCATGAGTATCTGGTTTTATATTTTTTACTGTGTATTGAAGTCCTCTTATTAGTGGTATTACCAAGGACAATGTTGGGTATTTTTCTCCGGACAACTCTGACGTCATATGTTCAAATGGTTTTAAAATTGGAGCACAATCTGCTATTAAATCCCATTCTGTCGCAGTCAAACAATTTGGTGCTCGTCGAAGAGACGACATTGCAGTAGATATTGGATTTTTTATTTGAATGAGCCTTTCCATCATAATTAAACATGAATTCCACCTAGTGCTCACATCCTGTTTAACTTTCAACTCAGGGAGGCCCATTTGTTTTTGAAATTCACGTAATTTCTCAGTTGCAGAACTACTATGTTTAAAGTGACCCACTATAATAGCTCGACATGTTTTTAATACCTGGAGAAGTTCTGTGTTTTTATTTATGGCATCATTAACACTTAAGTTTAAAGTATGAGCTACACATGGGTGGTGATATTTTTTCAGGTGCTCATTAATAGCATTTTTTATATTTGCTCCACTGTCAGACACTATTGTAACTATTTTATCAGTTATATTCCATTCATTAAAAATATATGATAGTACGAAAGCAATATTTTCTCCGGTATGACTTTCGCATACTTCTCTGGTAGCAATAACTGGCGAGTATAAATTATCGTTGTAAATAAAATGGCAAGTAACAGTAATATAAGACTTTGTGGAATCAGATGTCCATATATCTGTTGTTATAAACACATCATTTACATTGTTTAATATAGATTTGAGTTTAGAAACAATTATGTTATACTGATCAGGCAGCAACTTTGTGGTTAATAATTTCCTACTTGGAGGAGTGTAAAGCGGTTGTAACTTTTTTGTGTACTCTAAAAATCCAATATTTTCAACAATTGATAAGGGTTGATAGTCAGCCGTGATCATTTTAATTAAAGACTTATCAATATCATTCTTTTCCGTAATAGTAAGTTCAGTATGTTTAGTTGAACCGAATAATTTTAGTTGACGCGGGCGTTTAGCTGGAGGAAGAGTTAAAGATTGGTTTTGTATAATATTATGTGTACTTGTCGAAGAAGATTGAACATTTGAAAAATTGTCAATGGTCACGATATTTTGTAGATCAGAATTTGGATCGTCTGTTGTAGACACAGGAATAGCAATAAGCGTGGGATGTTTTCGTTTTATGTACTCTTTAAAAAAAATAATAGTTTGTTAAAAAATATAATATAGGTAAATATATAGTAGGAATTACGAATTAGGAAAGTATGTATAACTAAATAATATAATATAATATTGTAGTATCTACCTGTTAAATTGGTTGTATTTCCATAAAACTTTAAGTCCTTCTTACTATTTTCTACTTGGCAGGTTACTGTAGTTTTGTCACTATTTTTTTTTTTTAAATGCTCCCACACTATCGAACGTTGCCTATTTCCTGGTCGCATTTTAAAAAACTCGAATTTTTGCAAAAATTTATTATTATATTAGCTTTTAAATATTGTATTAGTACATCTTTCCGTGTGTTGCGGGGTCGACCAATTCTTCCGGGTTACCCCGGAGACACTCGGCCACTTTGTATAACCGCGAGGTTATCTCTTCCGGGCAGTAGCCCCGGATGACTCCGGGGGTCCCACGCGGGGCGCCGCCTCACCTCGGGCGCCATAAAGAGTGACCGCCGCGGCCAGGGCCCTACGGATTATCGCCTGAGTCAAACCCCTTCTACTAAGGCGGTACTCCTACAACCACCACGAGTTCTTCCTCAAGTGTGCCTTTCCCGGTGCGGGCGAGCGCGTGTCTTCAGTGAGTCCACGCGGTCGTGCGCCTCGGGTCCGGCACCCCCGGAGCGTCGAGGCGCTATTAGCAAGCCGACTCGACGGGGCTTACTCCAGGGCTTATTTTAAGGTATTTTTAGAAGTGCATATGACTTAAAATCCTCCACTCCCCTCCTCTAACTTCCCTCCTTTATCTCCTAATCACACCAAGCAAATAATTTCTCTTCCTATCATTTCTCAATAATCTTTCCCATCCTCCAATACCATATTGGTAATTTAGATTAAGATGTTCAAAATATGGATGAAAGATAAATAAACTGTATTAATTCTTATATTTTATTAGCTCTTTTTTAATATCAAAAACAAAGAATGTATATTTATAATATTATGATTTATACTTAATATCAATAAATTCTTAACACAATTTTACAATTTTTTTTTTTTTGTTTGATTGATGAGCATCCTCAAGGTCACGCTTTTTTTCTAAATTTGAAGCTTCTTCAAATATGCCCTTGAATCATTCCTGTTGTCTGGCCTTTGGTGTGTGTCGAACTCGACGGTCAGATGTGTTAATCCATTTAACTATAGCTGGTCTTGGGTCCCATGACATTAACGGTGGCATGTTTAAATGTAGGTAAAGAAACTGATTTTCAGTTTCAACACTAAGAGACTGCCGATCAATAGATTTCAATATATTACTAGTACTAATGAGTCTTTCAACATCTGCACTATGGGGTTTCACAACCAAAATTCTTGCAAGAATATTTAATACATTTTGATAGTATTGTGAATCAGAAATAAATTTAACAAGATCTGTTAGATTCATTTTTTTTTAAATCTGAAATGTTATTAGCTTCAAGTAATTCTCCATACTCTAAAGAAAGGTCTTGAAGTGAAAGATCGTGGCCAACTAAATTATAAACTTTCTCTATATTTGCTGTGTTATTCGTGTTAACAAACGACTTTATTATATCAATATAAGTTTTATCAATATCAAATCTAGAGTCTAAGAAATTAATTAGAGTATCAACTACCTCGTCACATACTGTTTTTAATTCTCTTCGATCTGAGACAAAAAGATGGTGTATTTTCCGACGCCTTTGACATATGGTTTTTAATGGTATTCCATGGATTGTTGATGAATTTTTATTTGATTGTACTATGCTATCATTTAATGCATTCACCCATCCACCTATCAATGGTTCAGATTTTAATAAACGTAATCGATTTTTTACAATATCCGTTTCTTTTGACAGGTCAAGAATTTTTACAGAGTCTGATTGCATAATTAATTGGTACCGACTAAAAACTGTTAAAACATCAGCCATAAAAGCTAAAAACTTAAGTTCATAATCGTTTTTTAAAAATTGACTATAGCTCTTGGCTTCGGTCTCTACAGATGAATCCATATATAAAATTAGTGCATTCCACGAAGTTAATACTGAGTTTAATAAAGAAGCCGTAAACTCTGTCCATCTTCTTTTAAAGAGTTTTGGAAGTGGTAATAATGCACAGTTATTTTCTTTTCCTATATCTTGTAATGATTTAAAAAGGAAAAGGTAATGAAGGGGTAATATTTATATCAGAGGTTATTGACTATACACCTTTAGATCAATTAGAAATCATTACATTATCTTTCTTCTCTTGGCAATGACTTCTTTGTTAATGCTGTTGTGAATAAGGTGACCAGTGCACGTTGAATAATTATAAGACTTTTTTCACTTAAATACACTTATTATTTTTATTATAATTTTTCTTTAATACATTTGACTTTAACATAAATTTATTTTAACACTTACGTCTTTTCGTGTATACGATCTGCGTAGTCTTTTACACTGGCTTATGATCATTTACACAAAAAGACGGGAAGAGCACTGCGCCTGGACCGTTGGTGACCGGCCCTCTTATATCGGGTGTCCTGTGTGTGTGTTTGATCCGACTATAGGTCATTTTATTGTTTTACATGATTATATTAATAGATGACTTATAGCTAAAGGTTATACATTAATTAAATATTTGATTTTTGTCATATTGATAAATTACTTATAGCTAAAGGTCATAATTTTATTATATAAATATTTAATTATGATTGCTTGGAGCACATCATTACATCCACCCTAGCCTTTTTGTGATGTGTCCTCACATCAAAATAATAACATGTATGAAAGTTATACAATGAAGAAAATTTAGACTTATTAACAATTATGTTTGTATGCATATTGAAATAATATTTAAAAAAAAAATTTTTTTTTATACTTATTATACATATTTATGAAATAATATATAGACTAATGGATATAATATAATATAATTTATATATATACAGAGTGATTTTTTTTATCGTGAATCAGTTAATACCTCGGGAAGTATAAGGAATTTTAAAATAATTTTTTTTTTTTAACTTTTTAGGTTTTACTTTTTTACACTGTATTACAATTTTGATAATTTTAACTTACTCCCTTATTTGATAAAACACTATCAACTTTTGATTTTCAAATAGCAAAACCTATTTTCGTTAACAAAAATCTATAGACATACTGAAAAAAATAAATTTAACGTTTATAGAATTTAATTTGAGTAATCCATTTGCGACTTATTAATGTTTCAATATTCGTTTAATTTACTGCTACTGGGCAATCTTACAAACCCAACAGTAAAAACCAGAAGTCAAAACGAAATTTTATTTCAATTTAACACTAGCCATTAGGGTCATAATTGATAATAACAAGATAGATAAACAATACTATTAGATAAAAAAAGTGTTTATAAAATGGTTTTATAAATAGTTATCAGCTATATGTAAAGTATAAAAATAACATTTTACAATTAACCATTATGGTTACACAATATAACACTGGTTACTGTTTCCTGGTATACGGTCTTATCACGTATTAGTAGATAAACGATAATAAATGCCGGTAAACTGTTTTTGAAAACATGTGGTTTTTGGTTAATCGTTAATGTTAGTTTCCATTATCAAATATAAAATATTAATTATTAATTAATTACTATTCTTAGAATGTTTAACCAAAGAATATGTTTTAAGTAAATACTAAATAATGTGTATAAGTGTATTATTTAAAATATAAATTTAAAGTTTAAGCCAATTATTCCAATGTATACCTATTATATTTTTTGATAGTGTTTTAATGTTGTAATTTGGTTAACAAATTTGAATTTAATTAAAAATATACTTCTATCCAATCAGCAATATTATTATGTATATGGAAATCAGATTTCATATTTTGCTGACAACTTTATTTGTATAATTTATTGGTAAGTTCAATCTAAAATTAATATATTAGAATTTTATTTTTTTTATTAAATGATTTATACATATTATTGACAAATAATAACCATAGTTCAAATATTTTAATTTTATTTCAGTGGAAATTAGTAGAGTTTATATAATTAATCAAAAAATACAGTGAACTATATGACTGGACAGCTCAATTTGACCAGCAATTAAAGCAAATTTACATCGCTTGCTACTGGTATCTGATGACTTTAAAAGAATAAAATATCCATATTTCTTTACATATTATATTTTAACCTTTAAACAAACTAAACAATTTATTATGTAAGTATGAATTTTTTTTATAAAATAAATAATTTGATGTTTATCATAATTTTTGCTTATTTTTTAGAAAATTAATTTTGTTTTCTTTCAAATTTCAACCGCAATTAGTAGTACTAACTTTTAATTCAAATATCTATAACATGATTGGATGAACAAATACAATTTGTTATTTTGGTTAGTCACAGCATTGGACATGTCACCTAATAACTTAATACGTATGAATAAATAATTTTTTTTTTGTTTATAGAATAAATAATTTAATGTTTTTTTTTTTTGCATTTAGATAAAAAAAAAACAACGCAGCATCAAGACCAACTACTTCTACATTTGTAAAAATGTTTGATTGTTACATTATTAGTTAATTGTATGTTTAAATAATTAGGTTAAGTTATTGATTTACTATTTTCCATAATTAGGGCTATGGAGTTTTTACTAACCTAAATTGGCAAATTGAAAATTTTTTTTAATATGATAGTGTCATTTTTATGTAATATTAAAAGATTTTTACTTCATAAAATATTAATTAAAAATTAACATAATTTCAAAAAAAGTGTAAAAATAAATAATTTTTTAAAACATCCATAGTCCTAAAAATATGTTATATGTAGTCTAGAGTAGATAATAAGTATAAAGTATGTTCAATGTTCATTTATTTTTATTAAATTATCTAAGGTAGTGGACATGTTAAGTGTTAATATTTTTTATTAGTTATGACCTTACTCAAATCCTGCAAAATTTTGCACTACGGAAATTTGTTCATACTCTAGTAAAATTATTGATAACTAATGTGTGTATTGCCTTTGATAGTTTAGTATTGAATTAATGTCCATTATTTGGTCTATCCATACACAAGATAGTTTTGATATAAAATGCAAATTATACATTATACAAAAAATATATCCCAGAATACCTAATATTATTTATAAATGGAAAGTCTATAGTCCCACATCAGATTAACAATACAGGACTCACTTCCTCGATGCCCAATACATTATAATATCAGTCTGATGTAAATTATTTGTTGTGTCACTTTATTTGTGTAATCATCAAAATAACTTCCCACACAGCAATTGTTAATCAATACGATTGTATAAATATTTTTATTTGATTTAAATTCAAATATTTAAAATTTATAGCTGAAACGATATTGAATATATATTAATTTTTATTGATTGTAACCAAAATATTCATCAATCATTATTAAATATTTAAATAATCATATTTTATTTTAAATTAATATTTGAGGTTTAATAAGTTTTAAAATTTAACAATTATTAAATATACTGTGTTTCAATAACTATTTAAAATTAAAATTAGACGTTTATCCAATATTTATATTTAAAATTAAATGTTGGTTTTGTGTTGTTTGGAATAAATATTTTTATTTTCAACTACTATTTAATGTTTAAACATCGTTACAAATTAATTTAAATTAAATATTAACATATTATATTGATATTAAGTTAAAAACTGCTTTAATTTGTATGTTATATAATTATAAATTTATTGTAGTCGCCTATAATAGGTATCTATATACATATATATATATTTTATAATCATATTACCTATATTATCTATGGTAATAAAAGGGAATGTTTGCACTTTGCAGGCGTATGTATAAGTACAAATGTACAATCCTGCACTCTTACTTATATATTATTATTATAATTACCTACTTAAAGTATAGTAGCTGGTACCTATATATAATAACTGTATAAATATATATTTATATTATACAGAAAAATCTATCTTTTTCTTTTTATAATTATGTTTTATAATTTTTAAAATGATGTAAAATATTTTTATTATATTATATTATATTTTGAACAAATGAATGTTTGTCAATCTAATAAAATTATACTAGATGGCAGCGATAGAGATTAGTACAAAATATAATGTTTTGTTGCAATAATTTAATTGATAGACGTTATTTTTATTATTAATATTTAATAACCCTATCGATTTTTGATTGTATCTATACAATTTAAATATATAAATCTAATAACCTGCAAGGATTGGGACTTTACGAATTTGCATATTTGTTCATTAGGTGAATATAGAAAAAATCTGGTTCGGTATAAAAATTTGTTTTGTGTTGTCTGGGTTTGAGATTTAAAGTTTAAACATCATTACAGTGCATATTTTTGATTTGTTCTATTAATGCATATTTTAATAGATTTATTGATTTAATTATTGCTATACTAACTGCGTCATAAAGAGTTAAGATACTTTGTCTAACTCTAAATTAACAACTTTGAGTTGGTAGTTTGGTACATTTAATATCTTGATACAGGCTTGATCTAGACGTTTTAGCTAGTACCTAAGTGTTTTATATAGTTGTATAATATGTAAGACCTACTTCAGCCTCAGGTTCCTTGTGATTTTATTTAATTGGTTTTAATAAAACAGTACCTATAGGTATTTTACATTGTCTCTGTATCAGTAGTTGTAGACTGCAGTGTATCAAAGGTAAGGAATTATACTCGCTATTATTAAAAAATGCAATTAACTAAATGCAGGTTAAAAGCGTATAGACTATAGATGCGGTTAGTTCTACATTTGTTTTATTTAAATGTATCAGAATATTCAGTGTTATTTTTGTAAGTATTATAGCCATTAAAACGTACAAATTATAATATTACAATACAATATTCAAAATTCAGTTTGTAAGAGATGATACTGTTTAAAATAGTTGTAAAATATAGTAAATTATTAAGCTGCGTACACTGCATTAGCGAGCCGAACCTCTTGCAAAATGCGAACTATTTGCGAACCGTTCGCTGCACGAATCCATTTACCGTCGGTTTCTTTTGACCAACTTCGAGCAAACTTGGTACAAATTTGGACGTCACAAACGGTTCGCAAGAGGTTCGGCCTTCGGCTACGTCTACGTGGTTACGCGGCTTTACAATTGTCTATTTCAAGTTATAAATATAGAAATCTGTTGTTGTTGAATTATAATTTTAAGTAATTTGCGGGGAAAACCATAAACGACCGTTGCGTCCACCGTACTCCGCACTGCCCATGTTTATCGTTCGGGCACGGCGTTCGTCACGCACTCACACTACAAATAACAATACGACATCGGATTTACCACATACATATTATATTATTATTATTACATACACTGATTCAAATGTCAAATAATTACAATTACATGATTTAACATAAAACATTCAACATACGTATTCGTCACTGTGTAATTATTAATTAATAATATTATTATACAGTATATTTTATTGTGTCGTTCGTTTTTGATGATGGAAGTCATAATATAAAAAATATCTGCAGTTTACAGTTCACGTTCACATATGTTTGTCTACATTTTGGTAAGTATACTTAAAGTTTTCATTATCGGGCTCATTATTGTTAATTGTTATTAATATAAGATATAAATTATTGTGATCACCTACTAAAACGATGTAGACAGAATCAGAATGAATAGTTAAGCATAAAAAATAATAAGTTATTTAATATAAACAAATAGGTATTACATTTTGTATTACGCGTATATTGTTATTACTATGTAATATGTAAATATATCTAGTGGCGGACCAGTTTCATTATACTCCATGATGCAGGTTAAGTATAGTATAGTATTAAGTAATTCATTTGTTTTACTAAGTACCTATATTAATATGTATCAATGTAAAATTATATAAATTAATTATTGTGGTTGCCGGTTGGACTCCCTACTTTCACTATAAGCTTATTGTTTGTGTATTAAATTTGTTGGTTACCTACACATTTTGACATTTACTACAATCTGTAAAATATGTAAATACTAAATGTATATAATAGTGTTATAGTGTTCTTAAATTGAATTAATTTAAATGAAAAATATATTAATAACTATTGGCTATTACTTAAGCAAGTTGTTTGATAACTTATAAATATATAATATACCTAAAATGTTTAAGTACTAGCCATAGTGGTGTAAGTAGCTGATAGTGTAATAAAATTATAATATAATATATAAATCATATTATGTTCAGAATTAATATTAATGATAGGTATTGGAATAGTCTGCCATTGGTAACAATACTCTGGACGTATAAATTTTTAATTACAATTTACAGTTAACTATAAATTTGTTTTTCCTTTTAAAAAGGTTATTGGATGAAGTAAAACTTGAGATATTCGCAAGTTGACAATTATTGTAATGTACCAAGCTATAAACATTGTACATTTATGTCAATAATTTATATTTATAACAACAACTTATAAATTATAAATTTACAGCTTCAGACACCACTATAAATTATTAATTTATATCAATTGGGATTTTGGTAAGAATAAACAAATTAAATTTACAATTAAATATTAAGTAGATAATAATTTTTTTTTTTTTTTTGTCATAAATTAGTTACCCTAAAGAAAATTCCATACTGTATGCTGATGAATTCAATGCTTGGTATTAATCGAAGTATAATTATTATAGAGATGGTATATTAGTATATTACGCTTTTATCATTTATTATATTTATATAAGTTTCCAGACGCCAACAAAAATATAGGTAGGTACACAGTATTATTTGTATATTATTTTCAACGTAAATTTTATTTAAGTTAGTAATAAGTTTAATTTATTTGTTTTACAATAAATATTATTAATAGTTTGAAGTTAGCTGGTAGGTAGTAAAGTGTTTTCATATCTACTATTATTTAAATAATATTTACACTAGTAGGACTTTTCTATAATATATCATACATATAATAATAAAGTCATTATTTTATTTTATTTTAATGACAAATATGTCTAGTAAATCTGATAGTAAATCTACTAAGCGTAGAAGATATTTGAACGATATGGAAACTATTGATTTTATTGTTGAAAATCAAGAACAATTAAACTTTTTCCCACAACCAAGTACATCCCAGGATAATGGTAATAATTTGGTTGTAGAAAGCCATGATAGACCATCTCCCAGCGTAATTGTTAATGATGAACACCTTTCTAACAGTCTTAGTATTGATACATCTACCTTTCCTTTTTCAAGTATTAATTTTGATAACAATAATGTAGACATATCTGATTATGGTGATCTACAAAATGAATCATGTAGCTCCGATTCAAATGATGAATGTTTAACAAATGCTAATAATATTTTATATGATGATCAATGTTCTATTCTTAAACTTATTGCTAATTGGACAATTGAACATAATATTACATTATCTGCACTATCTTCTTTATTAAAGGTTTTAAAAAATC